ACACACCTATCAAAAGTAGCTTATAGTGCAGTTTAACATCATGTCCTGACTACATCCTTGTGTTCCCCCCCCAAAATGAATTGTCATTATCTCATTATCTCTATCTGGCAGGCATGTGGAATGAGCCTCAGGCAGGTTTCTTTGTTAGCAGAAAGAAAGAAAAACAGCACAACAATTTAGGGTTAGAAGGTCATCTAGTCCAACACTCTGCTGCAGCAGGAAACCTTACATTGTATGGATTATTTTGGTGCCTCTAACAGAGAGGAAAATTGCCAAAAAGGATAAATAGTTTACTAGGACAAGGCGGCCATGCAGAGGAAAGCAGAGATAGTCCTCGACTTATGACTACGATTGAGCTCAAAATTTTGGTTGCTAAGCAAGAGCGTTGTTAAGTGGGCTTCACCACATTTTACCCAATCTATGACATCTTCTGGTGAGTGACATCAAGTTGGCCACTCCCACCTGGTCACATGACTGCCAAGCAGTCATGTGACCCACAAAACAGGCCACACCTACAGAATAGATTCTAAACATTTTGAAACCCACCACTGTGTCAGTGCCTCACCAGCCATAAACCTCACAGCACGTCACTGATTTGTATCATAAAAGGAAAAAGAAAGAGAGAGGAAATAGATGACGAAACAAGAAGGAGCATCAGGAGGATGCAACACACAACAAAAAGAAGATGAAACAGAATTAAAGGAAAGAGCAGAACGAGAAAGTGCAGAGATAAAAGAACAGAGAGAAATAAGAGCAACTAGAATAACAAGACCTATCTACAAATGAAACTATGGAAGATGAAATCAAACTGCTGTCAATCAATATAAATAGACTGAATTCTCCTATAAAAAGGAAAAGGACTTTTTAACAAATTAGGAAAGCTAAAAATAGATCTTATTTGTCTCCAAGAGGTCCATATCAAAAAACAACATAATAAATTATTGGAATATCCTAAAATTGGAATATTATACTCCTCATTAGCACAGCAAAAGAAAAGAGGTGTGGCCCTATATCAGTGATGGTGAACACTTTTTGGCTCGCGTGCCAAAAGCGGGGGGAGTGTGGGGTGGTGGTCATGCACGGGCATGCCGCACCCATGCTATGTGCATGATCCCAGCATGCATGCCCGCACGACCAGCACTCCCCCCTGTTTTTGGCATGCTTTCTTTGCCCTCTCCAGGCTCTAAAGACTTTATAGGAACATGGGGAGGGTGAAACCAGCCTCCCCTGCACCCACCTGGAGGCCCTCTGGAGCCTTCAGGAGGCTTCCCTGAAGGCTCCAGAGGGCAAAAAACAACCTTAAGAGCAAACTGGAAGTGACTTCCGGTTTGCCCATAGGGTCGGTTTTTGCCCTCCAAAGCCTGCAGGGAAGCCTCCTGAATAGCAATAGCAGTTAGACTTATATACCGCTTCATAGGGCTTTCAGCCCTCTCTAAGCGGTTTACAGAGTCAGCATATTGCCCCCAACAACAATCTGGGTCCTCATTCTACCCACCTCGGAAGGATGGAAGGCTGAGTCAACCCTGAGCCGGTGAGATTTGAATCTGTAAAATGTTGGAAATGCCAGCAGGCACCTGGTTCATACTATCATATGTGGTGGACATGCCAAAAAGCGAAAAAATATTGGACAAAAATACATACTTGGCTGTAAAAAATGATAAAACAACATATAGATTTGAAACCAGAGACATTTTTGTTGGGCATTTTACCTGACAAATATAATAAAAGGAATGAATGTTTGATTCTTAAGTGACGTGGTGGCTCAGTGGCTAAGACGCTGAGCTTTTCGATCAAAAAGGTCAGCAGTTTGGTGGTTTGAATCCCTAGCGCCACATAATGGAGTGAGCTCCCATTACGTCTCCCAGCTTCTGCCAACTTAGCAGTTCGAAAGCATGTTTAAATGCAAGTAAAAAAATAGGAACCACCTTTGGTGGGAAGGTAACAGCATTCCGTGCGTCTTTGGTGTTTAGTCATGCTGGCCACATGACCACGGAGATGTCTTCGGACAGTGCTGCTCTTCAGCTTTGAAACGGAGATGAGCACCGCCCCCTAGAGTCGGGAACGACTAGCACATTGTGCGCGGGGAGTCTTTACCTTATATTTGATTTTACATGTACTAACTGCAGCTAGAATAGTATTTGCATAAGTGGAAAAGTGAAGAGATCCCAACAGACAAAAAAGTGATTAAATTTTTTTTAGAATGTGCAGAAATGGATAGGCCAGCACTTATAATTAGGAAAAGAAAGAAACTGAATATTTTTTGACTTGGGACTTATTTTATCAATGGTTAGTTAACAAAAACATGAGCTAGAAACAGGAAAGTATATGGAAGGATCAGTGATAAGGTATGTTAAATTGGTCAAACAAATATTGTTATTATTATTAATAATACTATTATAACTGATACTAATGCAATGAATACTGTTATAAACACGTTTACTATAATGATTTGTACCCAGACAACACACTGTTCAATTGAAATTGGATTTTTTGTATATCATAAAATAAAATAAAAACTTATAAAAAAAAGAAGGAAGTGCAAATAAATGAGAATCTACCTTCAGTGTTCTCAATTTTTCCTATAGAAGATTTTTCGGCTCTAGACTGATTTACAACTTCAACTGGTGATGCTTTTGTTCTTTGACTAATATTCTCCCGCTGGCTGTCTTTAACTTTTGCTGTTCTTTTTTTAGGACTTTCTTGGTTCAAGTTTGAAGTTGTACGATTTTTCATAGGAGAAGCTGGATATGTTTTATTAGTTTTGGGAGACTGTGGATAAGTCTTTGAGACTGACCTAAAATATAGATTTCAAATAATTCAGTTATGCCTTATAAAACAAAATCAAACCAATAGTAATTAATCATAGCCTTGGCTATTTTTTCAGTCTTTTATATCAGGTTATGAATGAAATATTAAGCTAAAAAATAACACAAGGGAAGATAGAAATGAATTGGTTTTGTATTTTTTTTACAAAAAGACAATATAGAATAGATGCTGTCAGTTTATATAAAATGGAATGAAACACAATTAACTTAAGAACAGATAGCGCTTAGCAGCAATAGCACCTAGACTTATATGCCACATTATAGTGCTTTATAGCCCTCTCTAGGTGGTTTATAGAGTCAGCATATTGCCCCCAACAATCTGAGTCCTCATTTTATCCACCTCAGAAGGATGGAAGGCTGAGTCAACCTTGAGCCTGGTGAGATTTGAACTGCCAAATAGCAGTCAGCTGGCAGTCAGCAGAAGTAGCCTCTAACCACTGCGCCACTGAGGCTCATAAATAAAACAATATGTAATTGTCATATTGTCATGAAACAATTTGGCTATACCATTACCATCATTAACAAAAGCAATAATCTAAAGATATAATGATTGAATTTGTGACAGATATACAATTTTGGGGTTTATATCCATATAGTTATAAAATTTATTTAAATGTAATTTGTGGGGGGATACAGTCTGATAATTAGATATTTCAGATGAAAACATTGCTGAATATATTGAAAGTCCTGGACATCTAACTTTAACTCAAAACAGGTTTGATAAGTGGCAACCATTTAAATCCAAAATGAGCCACAAGATAAATTCTTGGATTACTCTTGTAAACTAGTTTTAGAAGTGTATTAGTATTTTTCTATTAATATATATATAAAACAAGACTCAGCTCCAATATTAAATAAATACATACAAACACACCCAGTCCTATTTATCATCTATCATTTATTGATAACAGAGTTGGAAGATACCATGTGTTGGAGCATTTACAACTTCTGGAGGCAAATTGTTCCATTGATTAATTGTTCTGTCAGGAAATTTCTCCTTAATTCTAAATTGCTTTTCTCCTTGATTAGTTTTTACCCATTGCTTCTTGTCCTACCCTCAGGTGCTTTGGAGAATAGCTTGACTCTTCTTTGTAACAGCCCTGAGATATTAGAACACTGCTATCATGTCACCCCTAGACCGTCTTTTCATCAGACTAGACATACCCAGTTCCAGCAACCGTTCTTTATATGCTTTAGCCTCCAGTCCCCTAATCATCTTTGTTGCTCTTCTCTGCACTCTTTCTAGAGCAATGGTTCCCAACCTTTTTTGGCCATGCCCCACCTAAACATCTCTAAAATCCTGATTGCCCCCCCCCCCATATAATTCTTAATTTACTCAAACAGTGAACTCTACTCACGCAGAGGAAGCATAAATGTAACTTGTTTAAACAAGGTTCAAATTGCCCCATTAAAAATCAAATTGCCCCCCTGTGGGGCATGGGCCCCATGTTGGGAACCACTATTCTAGAGTCTCAACATTTTTTTTACACTGTAGTGACTAAAATTGGATGGTTGCCATGAAAGAAAGACATATAACATAGCTTTTATAAATGTATGTATGTATGTATATGTGGAAACAGAGAGAAGAGAAAGAGGATAAAATATAAATATGTGGGGATGAAGCAAACTGTTTAAAATTTATTCAAAACATCTCTTATCAAAGCTATTTATGCATGTAGTAGCACTCCTAGATATTTATGTATCAATCTGTTTACATAGTTTTTTAAAGAGTATATTGAAGGAAAAAATAGTGGGGGGTTCTAAAGAATTTCACAGCTAATTCATACAATCTTGGTACTGAATAAGTAATTTTCTAACTGAAGCACCATGGTCAGCTCTGCAAGTCAGTTCTGAAACTAATTCCAAGTTATACCTGTGTGGTGCCTATAAATGTCAAAAAACCATGAATTTTTACTCTTTAAGGCTAATTTCACATCCACACATTTATGCTTTGATGTAATCTCTTCAATGTAGTATAGCATAATTCAAAGTTATCTTCTTATAATGGGATTAGTTGCAGTAATATAATTATAAGCATAATTAGGGAAGAAACCTGTGCACACAATAACCACTTCAGGAGTTTGGTACAGATCCCAAACACCTAGGTTTGGTCCAAGCAGGCATGTTCTGGCATGTAGAGAATGGGGAAAAGGCAATGTTACCGTGATAATAGCTAAACAGGAAGGAGGAAAACAGCACAGGAAAATCAGGAGCAAGAGTGAACCACTGCTGGGTCCTTGAATGAAAGAAGCAAATGTCCAACATATCTCTTCTCATATTATTTCTACCATTTTCCTTTCTTCACTTTAACCACAACCATGTGTCACTTCTGAATTTAGGTTAAGGACAATACAAGTAAGAATCCTATAGTTAAAAGATGTCATTAATAGAGGTGATTGTCTTCTGTCTATTCAAAGATGCAATTCCACTTTATCTCCATTGTTAATTTCAGTGCTTATATTTCTCTGATGATGATGTATCTTTTTTACTTACTGCACCTTGAAGGAGAGGAAGTCTTAGTTGTTGACAAAATTGACATCTATCTCCTGAGAAATTTAGCTCTAAACCTAACTTCTCTACTCCTTTACACATTGGCACACCTACCTTGTATATTTTGCAGTATACATTCAAACAAAATCACGAGCAAGTTAGCAAGCTGCCACCTCTCTGATGAAATTACATATAAACAGGCTTACTAAGGGAGGAAAGCACACTGAGATGAAAACATTGAGTTACTTTTTTTGTAATATTTTTTTATAATGGGAGCCAATAAGGCTAATGCTGTCCTACAAAATTAGGTTATTGTGCTCACTTAACAGCATGGCCTCAGTCATGAGTATGCATGAGAGCAAGGATACAAGATGATGAGAAAGTAATCAATAATTTCACATTTTGGGAGACAAGGGCAAGATTGAGAGATTGACTAAAGCAATCATGGCCATAAGAAGAAAATAAAAGAAGGCATTATTTTAAATATAATTGCTACAGCCAATGTCATTCTCAAGAAGGAAAATTTGACTTCTATCAGGTGGAATGGTGTGGAAGACCCTTGTTAAGCAAGGTGACTAAATACTTTTGGGAGTCAGGACATTCTCACTGGCAAACTCTAGGTGTTACCTCATCTAATTTGGCTTGCATTTGTAGAGCCAAAACTAGAAATAGAACTTGCATCTGCTTAATACTGCTGCTATTCTCTTAGTATAAATCTATTGAACATAAACTTGGGCAACAAGGATGCAGATCATTTCTGCAGAGATTTTCTTTTTACTCTGCATGATTAAAAACAACACACTAAAATAAAAAATGCGTACATTTAAGCTTACTTAGAGAACAATGAGAATTTGCAAAACATTCTTACTTTGGAGTTGTGGGTGAAGCTGATTGTTTAGATACAGCTGCTGAAGATTCATATTTTTTAAAAGGAGATCCCAAACCAGATGTGACAGGTGTTGTTGATTGTTTCTTTTTCTTCTCATTCTTAAAAAAGATAATGTAATTTGATAATCTGAGAACTACAATTATTCAGTATGTAGATGCAAACACAAACTTGAGCAACAAGAATGCAGATCATTTCTGCAGAGAAAAATATGTTTTACTCTGCATAATAAAAAACACACTAAAATAAAAACATCTCTTTTGATTATGTATCTTTTTTACTTACCGCACCTTGAAGGAGAGGACGTCTTACTTGTTGACAACATTGACATCTGTCCCCTGAGAAATTTAGTTCTAAACCTAACTTCTCTACTCCTTTGCCTTTACACATTGGCACACCTACCTTGTATATTTTGCAGTATACATTCAAACAAAATCTCTTAAACAACGTTATTTGATGATACTTAAGAAACATGTCTTCTGTTGCAGTTCCTGCCCTGTGGAAGAACATTCTCTCCCAGAAATTCATCAAGCTCTGAGCTTGTTCAAAATATTTCCTTAAAATCTAATTTTTAGTCTAGTCTTGGACTAGGATGGATGTGGGTTCTTTGCATGGTACGTAGTTTTATTTTAGAGCTTGGTTTTGTGACATTTTATCATGCTTGGTACATTTGCAATGAAGCTCAAAATTGATTCAAATGTGCACTGATATAGAGGATTTTAAAGATCAATATTCAATTGAAACCTCTTTCTGGGAACATGACTAACTGAACACACACCCAGCGAGAGATCTCCAAAGGATTTTTCCCTGGGTGTTCTTCTTCTGCCTTCTAACTGAAGGGACTGGTATCTCATCAACTTTTATGACCCTCCAGGCCAGGGTGTGTTTAAGACCCTGGGAACCCTTCAATGCAGCTGTAAGTCAGCAGACAGTTTTTGTGCCAAAAACTGGACGGGGAGTGGCTTCAAACTGTTTGGGAGTTGAAGGAGCACCTTTCAAATAGACAATAAGTTATGACTTCCTATTCTTAATCACCTTCAATGATTATTATTCTATCTTAAATCAACTTAAAAGAGGCTATTTCTAGCAACAGCCTGCTATACCTTTTTGAAGACCTGCACCATTTTAGGGATTTCTTTTTAAAGAACAAAGAAGCTAAGGCAAGCCAAATAAAGAAGTGTGCTGAGAAAAAAAAAGCTGACAGAGAAAGATAAAGATTGAAGCCATGATTTTAATTTACTATTGTAGCAACTGGTAGCTTGATCTTCTTAGCTGTGGGTGGCTAAAATCTTCTGATTCTGACTAAAAGAGGAAGCCAAGATAGCGGAGCAAAGTATTAGAGATATATTTGAAAGGTCTCTAAATAAAATCCACCAATTTGTTGACCAATTGTTCTCTGATGATAAAAAATCCTCTCAATGTATTTCTGAGATGCAAACATGTGGAGAATGTTACCAAATTGCAGAAGCAACTTCACAAATAGCTGAAAATGCAGAGGAGTTTATCACAGTTTTGGAAGAACCTGATATTAACTTTCATTTTCGTCTTCCTTACTATGATTCAAATGTAAACCTCTCAATACAACTAAAAGAAAAGCATATAGAAAAAAGACAAATTTGGGCCTTTTTCTTTAAAGACATTAACAAGGTTGAAGATTTTGATAAAAAGAAAGGCCTACAAGTCTTTAATACTTTCAGAGAAGAAAAATATCTTACTCCATGGAAATAAGCTGGAAGGTGAGACTTAAACTTAATGAGTTAACTGGAATCAGGATGCATTTTTCTCTGCTTGATATGTGCAAGTGAAAGAAAAGTTTAACCCAAAATTTGAAAATGTATTTTTTACGTATTATATAATGCTTAAGTAACTCTTAAAGTAGGCAAAAACTATTGAAAATGTATTTGAGAGTACTTGTATTAAGAGAAAGTTTTAAAAAATGTATCAGTTTAAAGAAAAACTCTGTATGGTAAAAAGGATTTTTATAAAAGAAAAAAAATTCTATAAGGGTAGTTTGGAGGGAGGGAGTTAAATGCAATATTGAAGTTTAAAACCTGTATATTAAGAAGTCAAAGAATAAGATGTATTATAAAGTTTTGATTTTTTTAAAAGTGCTTTTGTGTGTGTGTTTTTAAAAAGTTTAGTACCTTGAAGGAAAGAGGAGGGTGAAGAAAAAAAGAAAATGATAGGATAAAATGATATTTAACAGCATCTGATAATAGATAGCCAAGCTAAATGGGATACCGTTATGCAACATAATAATCAGAAACATTTCAATTTTATGAATGTCTAAATATCTAGTGAACAATAATAAACAAAGCAAAAAACCCAAAATACTAAGTTTGTTTCAAATGCAAGAATGCTTAATATAAGGTTTCTTTCTTAACATCTTTGTTATTGCAAAATAGAAGAAAAGAAAGCAGAGATTTGTATTTGTATCTTTATCTTGGGGAAGCAAAATATAAACCAACATATAAGTTTATTTTAAAAAAGATGTAAGTAATTTTCAAACCTACCTGTGAGACTTCACTTGTACTTGCTCCCTTCATTGAATCTGACATGGAAGCAGATGCTGCTTTCTTTTTCTCCACACTTCTAGTGGGGGAAGGCTTGTAAAAAGTTTTAAGAGGGCTGGCTGGTGCTATATGAGGACAGATATGGAATACTAAAGAGTTATAGTACAATAGCTAGTTCATTAGGAGACATAGACAAAGAAAGCAAGAAATAAAGGAAAGAAACAGCACCATTTTATTAGAAACAACCAAACACATACTTTCCCAAAACATTAATGAATTGTCTATTGGCAAGTGTTTAAGATCGGGATATTCAAAATTCTTCATTTTTTAATAAATTACTGCTAAAGTCAGAAACACAAATAACAACCTAAAAAAATGAATAGACATATAAGGTTGAAAACAGATCTATTACCCCCAGCATAATTTTAGTTATGAAACTTTCACTGGCTAGATGAATCATTTTAAGTCCTTCATTTAGTGTTAACTCTATATATTTTGAACTCCCTTTATATTTTATGAATAATTTTCTAGACTGATTAAATTTACTATTTTATGGGAAGATTGTTTTAAGTAGCTAAAATATTCCTAAAGATATTGGCTTTACCTGAATCAGTATATATCTCAGAAAGCATTAAAGTACTTCTGCATCTGGCTAAAGAAGCTTGTGTGGGAGTCAATAGTCGAGAAATAATAAAGGTTTCCATTGGACTAACGTGCATGTGATGAGCTGAAGGATGGGAGCAAATGAAAAAATAAATTAAAAATAACCACTTTTAAAATGTGCAACTAAACATAAAAATAAACAAGGTATACAAAAGAAATAAACAGCAACAACAAAAAATGAAGCTAAACATATTTTAAAGTTCAAAACCTTTGATTTAATTCTTCCACAAACAATTTTTCATTGGGTAACCCATGTTAGATCTTGGTCAATCAAACAAATATATTAAATTACTGTATTAGCATCTATTAGAATTAGACATAAAATGGCAAAACACTTTAAAAATGATTGATAATTAGTTTCTTCCTGAATTGAGTTCATGAAACAATAATCAAAAGTATAATTTTATGGTCAGCCTAATATTGCCCTTACCAGAGGTGGGTTGCTCCCGGTTGGGCCCAAATCGGATGAACCGGTAGTAGCGGCAGCAGGAGGTTCCTTTAGGAGGCTTCCCTGAAGGCTCCGGAGGACTAAAAACAGCCCTATGAGCAAACCGGAAGTCCATTCCCAAACTTCCAGTTTGCCCATAGGGCTGGTTTTTTGCGCTCTGGAGGCTTCAAGGAAAGCTCCTGAAGCCTCAGAAGGGCTTCCAGAGGGATGGTGGAGGGCGTTTTCACCCTCCCCAGGCTCCAATAAAGCCTCTGGAGCCTGAGGAGGGCGAAAAATAGCTTTAAAAAGCTGAAGTCAGCTGGCCAGCACACTTATGCACTTTGGCCAGCTGACAGGGCAACGCCTCACATGCCCTGACAAATGGCTTTACGTGCTACCTGTGGCACGCATGCCATAGGTTCGCCATCCTGGTTCTACCATATGTGGTGGGAGTGCACGAAAGCTAGGACTTTTTGGCACTAGATAAGAAAGTATTTGGAAGAGATACTAAATCAAAGGATGGAGTTGAGGTCAGAATTATTTCTACTAGGGATCACACAAAAATATGGACTATATTTAATGCTGCGTATTATAACGTCGGCAAGACTGGTTTTTGCACAAAAATGGAAACAAGAAATAATAAAAAATACTGTGCGCAGAAATGAACAGACTGACTCTAGAGCTCAAAGACAAGGGTGAGATGGAATATCATGAAATCTGGGACAAATGGTACGATGGTTAGAAATGAGGGGAAAAGGCTGGGGCAGAAAAACACTGAAAGAATTGGAAAATATGGTATTAAGAATGTGTGATTGGTAGGAATTGGATATGTATTTGTATGGTTAGTAATTATATAAAAGAAAGGACCAATGTATAGGTAATCTGACTGACTAAACACACCTATGTAATGGATATATAATGTAACTGTTGTAAGATCCAATCACTATATATATGGAAACGTTTAGGCCAGAAATGTCGCACTATGTCCAATGTTTTTAATGTTTAAAAAACTTTTAAAAATTAAAGAACTTTTTAATTTTTTTAAAAAATGCAAACAATCTTGTAAATAAATGTATCATGTCCTTTATTCTTGTATCCAATAGCATCATGATGATCAAAATAAATAATATGAATTTTATACAAGTTTACACTCCCACAGCTGAGAGCAATGAGGAGGATTTAGAGAAGTTCTGTGAAGATATAAGCAATGTATTGAAAACCCTAAAAAGTAATGATATCACAATACTCATGGGGGACTTCAATGCAAAAGTGGGAGAAGAAAGTGATGCTCCTGTAATTGAAAACTTTGGCTTAGGAACCAGAAATGGTAAAGGTGACAGATTTGTAGACTTCTGCAAGAAAACATAAGCAATATGTGATGAATACTTTTTTCAAGTTACCAAAAAGATGCCTTTACACTTGGAGATCACCATCAGATACACAAAATAATATAGTAAGAAACCAAATTGACTATTTTACAATAAACAAAAGATTTAGAAACTCAGTAAAATTAAGGACAGACATACCCAATCATAATCTACTACTTGCCAAAGTCCAGCTGAAATTTAAAAAGATGAAAAATCCAAATCCTCCTAAACCAAGAATTGACAGTGATTTCATCATTAAACACGGAGATAAGAGAGAAGAAGAACTAGAAATTCATTTAAGAGAAATCAACAACCTAAATAATGAAGATGTAGAATTTAATTGGAATAAATTTAAAACTGCAATAGTAGAGGTAACAAACTGAAAACAAAGAGAGAGGTACCACAAGAAACAACAGTGGATGATGGATGAAATTCTTCATTTCATGGATGAAAGATGCTCTTATAAAAATAAAAAACAAAGAAAAATATAATGAATTGCAGAAAGCAATTAGAAGAAAATTTCAACTGGCAAAAGAAAAGTGGCTTGCAAAGAGATGCAAAGAAATAGGAGACAGAATTTATTCATGTTAATTTTAAATTACACAAAAAAGTGAAAGAAGCAGCAGATGTCTACAAAAAGAAAACCAACAACTTAGTGACAAGGAGGGGAAATCATCTTGGATGAGGATGAAAAACTAAAAAGATGGAAGGAATATATTGAAGAACTTTTTGAGGACACTAAGGATTATATTGATATAGGAAGTATAACAACTGGACCAAACATCACTATGGAGGATGTTGAACACGCAATAAAAATAGCAAAAACAAGAAAAGCCACAGGACCTGATGATATCCCAGTAGAAATTTTTAAATTGCTGGAAGACAATGGGAAGAAATTTTTACTGCAGCTCTTCTATCGAATATATGAAACAGGAAAGATACCAACTGATTGGCTAAAGTCAACCTTTGTGACAATTCTCCAAAAATAAATGCAAAAAAGTGTACCCAATACAGAACAATTATTTCAATGAGTCATGCCCTGAAAATATTCCTGAGAATAATTCACACAAGAATATATAACAAAATTGAGGTGTGTCTAAGTAACACACAATTTGGTTTCAGAAACAAACTTGGTACACAAGATGCCCTATTCAGCATTCAAGTTCTTGTACAACTCTGTAGAGATGTCAATCACAGTGTTTACATGTGCTTCATCGATTTTGAAAAAGCATTTGATAAAATAAGACACAGGAAACTATTACAAATCCTGAAACAAGTGGGACTAGATGACAAAGACATTCGAATCATAAAGAACCTATATTGGCATCTGGTAGCAAATGTGAGACTAAGCCAAAAATACTCAGATGATGCAGAAATACGAAGAGTGGGTCAGACAGGGCTGTATTCTGTCTCCACTGTTGTTTAATATCCACAGAGTCAATTTTCAACGAAGCACTGGAAAACATGGATGTTGGCCTCAAAGTAAATGGTATTCAGATCAACAATTTAAGATATGCTGATGATACAGTTCTGCTTGCCAGTAAGCATGAAAACCTTCAGCTCCTCATCAACAGTCTCAGAAATATCTGAAAAATGTGGCTTGAATCTTAATACCTCAAAAGCCAAGATCATGGTTGTCAGCAAACAACCCAATAATTTACCACTGATAAATTTGGAAGGAATACCACTAGAAAAAGTTGAAAGGATTATGTGCCTTGGTTATAATTTACATGAAAGCTGGGACATGATCAGTTAAATAACTACAAGGATAGAGAAAGCTCAAACAGCATGCTTCAAAATTTATCAGTGGTA